AACGAATAATTCTAAAAGTCATCCTACATGTAGAAGTCCTTCTAGACTTAATGAGTTATTTTTTTTCCTTATTTACAATACAAAATAAATGAATAATATGGAGATAGAAATAAACCACTTGGGAGTTTTTATGGACTTAAAAAAATTATGTTATTATCAAGACATTTATTTGAAAAAAAAAAAATCAAGGAGATTTATTAATGTGACATACTAATTTTCATCGAATATCACAAATGTTTTTTTAAGTTAAATTTATTTAATTTGTAATTATGTATGAAACTAACATATGGTATTTTATAGGCGCAATCAGTTATATGTTGTTTATAGAGTCACAGATTCTCGTTGTATGATTATTATTTATCATGATAATGGTAATAATGAATATTGAATACAATTCATCCACTAATAATGTTATATTTAATTAGAGAAACATTTTAAAGTATAAGAAACAAATTTTTTGTCCTACTTTTTATTATCTCTATAATATTTTATGAATATTAATTATTAATTTAATATATAATTTATTCACATGTTTTTTTAATAATATGCGATTGAGATACTAATATAATCAGTAATGCTCACCTACCCACGGTGGGCACATGTTAATATGTCCACCGCTTATGTATCATGCACACATTGGTGATGTATTTTTTTTAACATATTAAAATCACCAATGTTTGAATGCCACATAAGCGGTGAGCATATTAACATGTGCCCACCTTGGGTAGGGGAGCATTATCGATAATATAATATGGATATCATGCAGACATCGATATTCCCATTTCAGATTGATGGAAGACAAATGTTTATACCTAATAACAATATATAAAAACAATACCTTGACCTTTATGATATCATGCACAGTCCCCGTCCGACCACTAAGTGCGAGACATCGACATTCTCATTTCAGATTGATGAAAGACAAATGTTTATATCGAATAAAAATGTATAAAAACAATACCTTATAATTTGCAACTTTTTCATATATTTATTAAAATAATTCTAGCATAATTAGATGTGAATCCCGGCCTCCACAAGGACAACCCATCTATTTTGATTTGTTTTCAGAATCTCAACAAACATGTTCTGGTGGGCCAGGAGCTTGCTCCACAAAGCCACATACTCTGATGAGAGTTGTTTTGAGAATCTCAACAAACAGATTCTGGTGGGCCATAAGCTTGCTCCAAAAAGCCACATATTTGGGCTGAGAGTTGTTTTGAGAATCTCAACAAACAAATTCTGGTGGGCCATGCTCCAAAAAGGCACATACTTGGGCTCGGTGTTGCTTTCGGGTGTTGAAAGTTAGGTAAAGGTGCCATAATTTGACCAAGCATTAAACACATGCAATGTGTTGTTTTTTGACAATTGAGTGCAATTCACATTGTATTTTTCTCCAATAAATAGAGGAGCAATTTGATGAATGAAAGAAACACACCAAAACAACAACAAAAGTACAAGAAGAAAAAGAGAGTGGCTAATAAAAAAAATCTTAACTTTTTGAGTTATGAGTTGTGAGTGAGTTTTGTAAACACGAATGTATTTCATTTCTCATAATAAAATATTAGCAGTAGTCCGGAGACGCAAGCGTAGTGGCCGAACTCCGTTATCAATTTGGTGTGTCCAATTTTTCTTTTTTATTTCACTTTTATAGATCCGACTTCATAGAAATTTCAGCGTATTTTTTCGAACATCAGGTTCGTCTGTACTAATCTCGGTCCTCACGAAGCACTCGGGTAAACTCTGCGTAGCTACTTTCGTCCATGAGGCGGGCCGCCCAAAACCTGGTGTCCATGAAGAGGAAGCAATCGGAGGTTTGGATTTTGAATTTG